GAATTGCTCTATCCTAGATGTGGTGGTGCATGGTGAGTCAATCCTTTCTTAGTATCAAATTTGATGGAATAACTATCATGTGGTGGTGCATCGTGAGTCAATTTCTCAAATTTAATAGAATAACTTCATTCCTTATACTAGTACTAATTATTATTATTATTATTATTATTATTATTATTATTATTATTATTATTATTATTATTATTAGCTTGTGAGGAATGAGGTGACGATGCATTAGCTCATTCCATTTCACAAACTAAACAAAAAATTATGAATAACTAGATGATGTGGGCTATATCATTTCTCAAACCAAACACCCTGTAATACACGTTGGAGCTGCTTTGAACCCACACGAAACTTCTCCAATAGTAAACTCCATGGGTCTGAAAAGAAAAGAGTGAAAGTCCTAGGAAAGCACCGCCACTTGAGAAGTTAAATAATTTTAAATTTGATTAAATACAATATTTTGCTAGATTAATTATGAAATATATTTTTATAATAAATCTATTTATGGATACGATATCGATATTGTTTTATATAATTTAGTTGTTTATGACTTCTTGAGAATTTTTTTTGTTTTTGGGCAAGAGGGAGTACTCCCTTTGTTCCAACTTTCATGTTATGTTTGTTTCAAGTCAAACATTTCTAAATTTATTATTTTTTGAAAGAAATCCATATAGTTTCAGTCTTTCGGAACACGTGGACAGCATATTATGAAAGTATGTTTTTATAATTAATCTAAAAACATAAATATTATAAGGTACACGTTTTTAAAAAAAATGGTGGTTAAAAATAGAAATGCTTGACTTAGGACAAACACTTAGACTTAGGACAAACGCTAATATGACACATAAAAACACAGAGGGAGTATAGAGACCATGTATTTTCCGTTGTGATTTTTGAAGCTCTGCAGTCATCAATCTAACATAGTAGTAGCTCCAGCAGGGGAGCTATATTGAGGTGGTGTTTGAATCCAGTGATTAAAATTTAGGAGGTGTGTCGGGAGGATGTTGCATGAGTTGTTTGGATACTAATAAAAAAATAAATTACATAATCCGTCAGTACTCCACGAGATGAATTTTTTAAGCCTAATTAATCCGTCATTAGTATATATTTACTGTATCACCACATTGTCAAATCATGGATTAATTAGGTTTAAAAGATTCATCTTGCAAATTAGTCACAAACTATGTAATTAATTTTATAATTAGTCTATATTTAATACTCTATATATATATCTAAATATTTGATAAAACAACGACTAAAATTTAGAAGAGGCGTAAAAGGACGCCTAACCAATTCTCTCGTTTGGACAATATGGTCTCATTCATCGCTGCCGTCGTTTCATGGTGATGATGATTGGACGGGTGGGTTTGCACTGTAAATGTTGGCTACTACTAGTTTAGTTATGGAGTGTAAATGTTGGCTACTATCAGTTTAGATACTCCCTTAAATTTTATTCTATATCCTATCAAATGTATAGATATATGTATGGAGTATTAAATATAGACTAAAAATAACTAATTGCCCTGTTTTACGACTAATTTGCGAGACAAATCTTTTAAGCCTTATTAGCTCATGATTTAACAACGTGGTGCTACAATAACATATATGCTAATGATGGATTAATTAGGCTTAATAAATTCGTCTCGCGGATTACTGATGAATTCTATAATTTATTTTTTTATTAGTATACGAACACCCATACGACATCCCATATGACATTGACAACTTTATACTCTGGATTTAAACGAGCCACGCTGGCCATGCAGGGGTTGGACACTAGTGCCAGATCTATCGGCCTCCTTGTTTGTGCTTTGGGCACTACTATTTTGTTATATTAATTGTTTTCTGAAAGGTAGGTTACGAGGGGCGGGCACACAGCACACTGACAGCACCTTAATTGAGTACTTCTATTGAGCTCTCTGATCTCTGTAGCTCAACATCTACAGCTTTGTTTGCTACCACTAGCTCCCAAGTCCTATATATGGTGGTTCTCTGAAACTGAAACCTCGCTAGCTCTGTGGGCTGTGGCTGTGGCTTGGCCGTGAACACACGCACGCACAATGCATCCAAGGCCATGTTTAGTTCTCTAAATTCTTGAATTTGGCACTATATAAAAAGAAGATTTCTCGTCACATCAAACTTACGGTATATGTATGGAGTACTAAATGTTGATGAAATCAAAAACTAATTGCACAATTTGGTTGTACTTTGCGAGACGAACGTTTTGAGCCTAATTAGTCAACGATTGAACAATTATTACCAAATATAAATGAAATGCTAGCCCTGGGCGGCGCCGAATCCAGACGGAACTAAACGCGGCCCTAGCAGGGAGCGGAAGAAGACGAGGGCGATAGAGCCGCGCTGGCTGGCCATGGCCATTGAATTGAATGTGTGCGCAGTGGCGCCAACCAAACACAACCGAACCAAACCTGCGCATTCATGCCACTACTACTGCCGTCTCAGTCAGCTATGGGTTAAAGTTTTTAAAGTAAGGCCATGTTTAATTTCCAATTTTTTTTTGTCTCCTACAGTGAAAGAGTATATTTGGACACATATATAGAGTACTAAATGTAGACGAAAAAAAACTAATTACACAGTTCTCAGCAAAATCGCGAGACGAATCTTTTAAGCCTAATTAGTCCAGAAAAGACTTAAGTGCTACAGTAGCCCACATGTGCTAATGACCGATTAATTAGTATCATTAGATTCGTCTCGTAGTTTCCTGATGGGTTCTGTAATTTATTTTTTATTAGTATCCAAAAACCCCTTCCGACATCCTTCCAACACATGATGTGACACTTAAAAATTTTCACCTCCTCAACTAAACACACACTAATCCGGCTGCACCCGGCCACCTACCACAAGCGCAGACCTCGTGAGAATATTATATATACATGCACGATGGTGGGTACCAAGTAAATATTACTACTGTTGGTTTAATGTGCTGATGTGGAGACTGAGGTGCTGTAAAACTACATATTATTGGTGCAATAATTAATCTGGTAGGGCATGGATTTGATTGTTGTGTTTGGGATGGTATGGGACAAGACGATCTTCATTACTCCGGGTATGATGACACGTATAGTCTGTTCGCTCGGAGAAATTCTGGAGAAATTTAAATGATTTAGAAGAATGTTGGAGAAATCTATGAGAGAAAAACACTGTTCTGGATAAAAAAAGAAGCGGATGAAGCCGGATTTAAGCGCACGTGAACGGGCCCTAAAATGTGTACGTACGTCTTAAACAGCACGACGGCCGTGCCCAATGTTTGCCAGCTTCAAACCAAGTGAAAAACCAACGAACAATATCTAGCGCCATAGAATCCAGGATTTCTGTCCTGTGTGATGTTCTCTGGTGCCTCATTAGCTAATTTGTATGTAAATTCTAAACATATAGTATCCCCTTAGTTGAACAAAACTGAGCTCTTGTCTTGTTTTCTTCTCTCTTGCCCTTTTTTTTGGAACCGGAGCAGTTCCCTTGTTTTTTCTCTAATAAAAATGAAAGTGCCTAAAATGCAGATTTTTTAGTTTAATTTTGTAATACTAATTGTTGAAAATTGCTACTGCGTGTTCTGTTTATTCATATGATTTTGCGAGGAAGTTTTCATTGTTTCAATGCTCTGCGTCCATGAAGGTTTGTGGTTGCAAACAAAAGTGATGTTCAGTTAGTAAGCTGTGATTCAGATGTAGTAACATGTTTTTCCCCCCAAAAAAAAGGATGTAGTGACCTATTCCTACGTACAATATCGTTTCACTGTTTTGTTTGTGATTGTGTAAAAACAATATATTGCCCCCTCGAACCACAAATAGCTGTTGTTTCGCTAATTGACAAATGGTTTACGAACTACAACTTTGGGCAGTTATTTTTGTTACAATATCTTGTAACAGAGGGTAAAAATATTTTACTGTGAAACTATTTTTGGATACAAATCCATTAGTATAACAGTTATGTATCCAAATCCAACACGTGCAACAAAGTTTATTTATTTTTACTTCAAACAACCCAAAAACCATGTCTACACGAGAACCAAGACATAAATGGATGTGATTGATAGATAATAGAGAGAGAATATATGTGATTGAATAAAAAATTGTTATGTACACACTATCCATTAGGACCATGGTTTATATATGTAGTGTCTATGAAAATTAATAGGTATAGAAACTACTTATAATTTTTAGTATTGGGACTGCCTTTAATAATACATGTTGCACAAGGAATGAAGCCTCTATCAATTGTTACAGACAAAGTTTTCATAGGTGCAGTCACACTCACACATCATGGTGGGTGGCAAAACAAGACTTTTGGTTTAATGCAGTAAGAATTAGGATGGGATTCAGGTGAAGTAATCTTATCATTCTTGGCCATAATAATTAAGCCAGTACATGATTTAACTGTTGTGTTTTGTGATTCTACTGCTCTGGCACGAGAAGCTTCATCACTCCTTGTACAATGATTGTCATGAAGGCACAACCGCGGTTAATAATGTTGCGAGCTTTAAGATCATCAAGTGATGAAGGCATTGAATAAGGGAACGATACAGTTCAGGGCATGCATGTGCAGTTGAATGTTCAATGCCCTCCTCACGCGGAACCAGATCATCTGCAGTTGGCCAACTGACTGTACTATGCAGTTGATCATCGCAGCCGTTCGTTTTAGATCCAACTGTGGGACTCTAACGAATCTAACCAATTTAACAGGCCTGCAGGCCGGCCCATCATAGCCCAGCCACTCGACTCCCCGTTACCCTGCGTGAGTCGCCCCTCCGCCGCTGTTGCGGACTCCCCTGCGAGTCGCGCCTCCGCCGGCTAGCACCAGGTGATGGCGAAGGAGGAGGGCGGCGGCGCGGCCCAGCGGACCATGGAGGCCCCTCCGCCGGAGACAGAAAGCATCGTGTGAAGGGAGGACAAGGAGAGGTTCGAGACACCCGACGGCGAGGCCTTCCTCCAGTACCACCTCCACGACGGCAACAGGGTGGCGGGGCTCCTACGGTGATGGACATGGTGCACACGTACGTGCCGATCTCTCCGGTAACCACTCTTCGTCAGATCCGCACCTCGACGTTCTCTGCACTCTTGCAATCTTCACCTAGCCCCTTGCTGCTTCGTCCAGGGATCATTAAGCGCGTGCCAGGGGAGGCCACCGCGGCGGAGGTGAGCCCGGTGGTGCGGGTTCTGGACGAGCTGAAGGCCTCTCACAGTGCCAGCGGCGGGTCGGAGCAGGATTTCGACGGACTCGTCTCTCTGCTTGATGAGTTGCGCGGCCTGTGCAGCTTCGGCGAGGGTTCAGAGAATGCAGGGATCGCGGTACGGAATGGCATCGTGGAGGCGCTCGTTGCCCTGTGCGCGTCCGCTCGGGTTCAACAGGAGAGGTTGCTTGCATCGGCCTTGAAGACGCTGAGCTCCGTGCTCCGTGGTATGACATTGGTGTGCTTGCGGGTCTTTTGAGATGCGTCATTTTGTTTGGCAACTTACACTGTTCTTCTATTCACAACATGCTTGTAGTAATGACTTCCCGTTAGCCCGTTTCTTTAAGTAGCATGGCAGCATGTGTATATTCCTGGGTATTGTGAAGATGCATTTGGAAACGGCTACATGTTTCTGCTCGGCTGAACTTACAAGTGCACGAACGCTATTGTCGGTATAGAAAATGATCAACTAGTGAATATTTGTAGTTTTGTTGTACGTTGTGATAGGAGGTGGCCTAGCACTCAATGACACATGATTTATACTGGTTCAGGCAACGTGCCCTACGTCTAGTTTGGATCGGTCGGTGATTTTATTCCTGAGCTCAGGTGCTCGAAGTTTGTAGTCGGGTTACAAACGAGAAGGAGAAAGATGGGGGTACCAGAGGCCCGGTTGGCTCCGGTCGGAAGGACCGAGAGCGACAGGAACTCCGTTATGAGCTAAGTGTTCAAGCGTGCATTTGAGGTCCGAACCTGGCATTTCTGTGGTGGTGAGCTATTGGACTAATGAATCTAAAGGAACTGAGCTTGAATGAATTGGTCCCTCCCCCTGTTGGAGGGAGTGCATCCCCTTTTATAGATGAAGGGGATGGCATTACAGGTGAGAGTGAGAGGGTACGGATGCTTTTAAGCCTTGTTGCCCACGCCAATGAGGATTGAATAATGGTAGGCGCCCACAACACTGTTGATGTCACTGTAGAATGTTAGGTGCACGTGGGAGGTTATGTTGTCTTCTTCAAGAAGGGTCGAAGTCGGTACCTGCAAAATACTGCTTTCCGGAGGCACGTGAGGGGCCTTACCACGTTTACCGGGCACGGTGAATCCCGGCGCCTACAACACCATTGACGCCCAGAGGCATGTGCGGGGCTTTTCGTCGTACGGGAGTCCAACAGCGCCTACAATACTGTATGGATAAATGTCGGCGCCTACAATACTGTTTGTGTCAGGGTGGTTGTAGAGTACTGTTCCCGCAGGTGTACAAGGTATGGTCCCTGTTCTGTGGTTTGACTCGCGTGCTATCTTCCCCGTTCGTCCCTGGTCCCTTCCGAGCGGGCGTCCCCGGTCGGATGGCCCCAGTCGGCTTTGGTTGCACCAGTCGGAGAAGAGCGGCGAGCAAGATTCTTACGTACCCCGGTCGGAGAGACGCGGGGTCAGAGTCGGAACTAGGGCTCGGGGCAGGCCTTCCAATCGGAGAGGCCGTCCGGAGGCAGTTGGAGCCCGAAGTGAGCGCTCCAGTCGGATAGATGGGCGAACTAGTTGATGAGCGGGCGTTGCTCTTCTTAGGACAGACCTTCCGTTTGGTTGCTGGACCGCCCCTTTGCCCTGTTGTTTTTAGACTCTCGGGTCGAGCCTTGGCGTGGAAGTCGGTCCCCAAGGGACCCCGGGTTTATGAACCCGACAGAAGCCCCCGAGCCCCTGGGCGATTCGGGTAGAATCATCCGGGGGATTTTTGTCTTACCAGCGGGTGCGCGCGAGCGCACCCGTGGGTGTAGCCCCCGAGCCCCCGGGTGGTTCGGGTAGAACCGGCCGCGGGGTTTTCTGCATTGTCAGCGGGGGAGGTTTTTCTGTTGTTCGGCGGGTGCACGCGCGAGCGCACCCGCGGGTGTAGCCCCCGTGCCCCCGGGCGGTTCGGGTAGAACCGTCTGGGGGGTGTTTGTTTTAGCGGGCGTGTGTGCATGTTTTTAGTCTGATTGATTTTTGTCTAACCAAGGTGTTGTTGTGCAGCCGAGGCGTTTTAGGCGCGGGGATTGGATTGAGACAGAACTTACTGATCCCGGTGTCGATGCACGCCGTGGATTGGGTGAGAACTTCGTTCGGATACGACAGAGCTCACTGATCTTTGGCGTCGATGCGCGCCGTGGGATCGGGCAAGACGGAGTCGCGAGCGGACCCAGGCGTCGGTGCACGCCGTTGATCGAGAGAGTTAGTTTAGTTAGTATGACGCGAGTTCGGGGTTGCGGTCCTAGGAGTCTGGAGCGCAGTCGGAAGTGAAGCCGTATGACATGAGTTTGGAGCATGGACCTCATGATGTTAAATGCATCTTCAAATGTTGCTTCATTATCATACTCATACATACACGCACTAAAATCAGAGAGAATACTTGGTTCTTTATTGCTGTCTTCTACTTCCTGTTTGGGAGATGCACCTGATTCCTCATCATCTGGTTCAGCTAGATGTTTGACAGCATTCTGCATAATGTGAAAAGTGCACAAACCATGCCATGCTTCTAAAAAAACTTCCTTAACTGCTTTTCCCATTGCATAATCTTAATCGATATATATTAGTTTTAGGTTGCTCGCCATTATGGGCTCTCAGGAAGGTCTCAAATAGCCACTTGAAGGATTCAAATGTCTCGTCATACATGAAAACAACACAAAAACCATTATTTCTCTAAAATGGTTGAACCCAACAAATACGTCAAAAGGCATACTCTCCTTGTTTGTACCAAAGGTAGTATCAAAACTGACAACATCACTAAAATATGCATAGTCAGTGAGCATTTTAGCATCAACACAGAATATGTTTGTAATCTGTTCTTCCCGATCCATCTGCAGTGCATATTGAAATGATGGGTTCTCGGCAATTTTTTCTTGAAAATACATAAGCATGCTTCCTGCTTGACCATATGCCATCTCTCGTTGCCGCTTGCCCCGTAAATAGTTCTTGTGGTCTTGAAGAGTGTAACTGAGATTAACTGAGCCACCAACTTGGATGCAAGCCAACTCATGAGCAGCTTTGGGCCCAATTCCTGCATCGTCAGCCGTCTCAATTTCAAAACCTTGTAACTCTGAAATTTTCCTTTGGGACGCCAGCAAGTGTGAGGTTTGTGGCAGCTGAAGGGTATGATTGTGTTCCAAAAATAGATCAATCACTTTATAATTTTCTTTTTTCTTGTCCATTATAAGTCCCATGCGAACTTGACAGTTGGTTCTAGTTTCAGCTCTTGGACACTTTGTTAGATGATCTCTTTTATCTGGCTTTCTATGACCCTCATTTGCACAAACATATCTGAAGGAACTAACCTTCCCATCTAACTTTCTTTTGTTTGTGTACATTTTCCTCGCCTCAAATCCTTTCTAACCCCCATAGCTAATCCAAAACATCCAAGCCTCATCTATAGTGGTGAACTCCATGCCAACTTGAGGTAAAAGACTAGAAAACAAGCCCTACCTACAAGAAAACAAATAAAGATGGCATGATATTGGACGACAAATGGAACAACTAAAATATATACCCTAATTAGATAAATAAAAAGAAACAACCACGACATCATGCACCTATTTTCTTCCATTTTAAATATGCAAATTTTAATTTGATGCAACCAAATAGGTGCTTCCTTCAACCTTCCATACCAGGTTTCCTTCAATCGATCAATTCCAGCACAATTCAATAAAATCAGAACAATACTAGTTTAAGTACACTGCAATAGATGACATGAGTGCAAAGATTTTGGCACCAGTTCAGTCTATCGATGGAGAGCACCAGCGAACAGCGGTCGCCGCCGCACGACCTACACTGCTCGCGCCAAAAACATGAGTCGGGCGCCAAAGTATTGAAGCTTCGCGCGAGAAAAAATACCGCAGCCACATCTCTTACGTGCGTCGTGCTGAATTGGGCCGGCCCAGCAAGCCGAGTGGGACAGCAGATATTTCTCGCTGCACCGTTCGATAGGGATTGAGTGGCCAGATGCACGTCGACTGCAGACACAAGTCATTTTGCTCGACTTTAGAGGATCTGATTCCCCTCGCGCCAGCGCCCGGCGCCCGTGCTTTACAGAGGTACGTATCCTATCTGTAAGAACCAATTTAAACTTGTACTTAAAATGTTCAGTTTCCTCACTCTTCACCATACACAATGCGCGCGATCTAACAATTATGTTTGTACAAAATATACATTACAAGCACGACAAAAAACATGTGCCAGGTACCTAGTACTTCAAGAAGAGACGTGCTGGGTGTACGTTCGTGGTGAGTCTAAGTCGACTGCAAAGGCGAGCGCGGAGTTGGGGGTGCAGCAGGTGGGTGGGTGGGGTGCCCGCGGCGAGCGACCCCATGCTTGAGAAGGCCATGGTGGGCGGCGCGGGTGTGGTGCCTGCGGCACGGCACCCTGCGCTGGAGAAAGGCCACAGCGGATGAGGTGTGGCGCCCCTCCGTTGGAGGAAGGCCGCGACGGACAAGGTTTAGGCGAGTGTCGTGGGCGAGCGCGGTGGAAGCAAGTGTCGCGGGCGGTGCGTCTGAGAGTTGCTGCGAGGAATGACCGATGGTGTTAGACTGTCTCCAACCATCGGACCTAAAAACGAGACGCATACCAGGATCTAGGTACCGCACAGCGATAGGTTACGGACCCAAAAAATGACATTTTCCAACCGCCGACGCAAACGAGAAAAGGTCCCGTCTGCGCCTGCGCCTTCTTCTTCGACGCGCCCCTCGCCTGCGCCTTCTTCTTCGACGCGGAGCCCGCCGTCGGCGAGCCCAGCCTGCACGCGCTCTGCGCCAAGCCGCTGGCCGGAGCGGCGCCACCGAGCGCCGCCATCCGCGACCGCCGCCGACGCCCTGTGCCCGAGCACCACCCGCGCTCGCCATCAACAGTCGCCGGAGCCGGGCACCACCAAGGCTGCTGCCAGTCGCCGAGCTCTGCTCTCCCTCATTTCGCCTCTCTTTCGCCTCTCTTCGAGCCGAGCGGCAATTAGCTGAGCGAGCGAGCGCAGTCGCGCCGAAGCCCTTCCTCGGCGGTGTGCCGCTTGGCTCGGCGGTGCCGCTAGCGGTGGTGGAGCGCCCTCCCCACAGTGCGGCGGGCGCCACCACCACGGGCGCAAGAGCGGACGCCGACGAGCGCGCGCGCGTGCGCGCCGCGCGCGGCGAAGGGTCGGCAGAGGCATGGCGGCGCTGGCTGTTGTTGGAGCGGGCGGCGGCGGCTGCCGGTGCGGAGGAGAGCCACGTCCGGACGCGCGAAGGGCCGACGCGAAAGCGAAGCGCAGACGAC